CCCCGAAAAGTACTCTGGATTTTGTGACGCAAAATAGTTATACCTCCTTCGCCCCACCAACCATCCAAACTGATTGGCATCCGGCACTGGTCACTGTGATGCTGCGGACTCATCCACCCTGCTAGTGTCCCACCTGGACAAGTACTTCCAGATTTGTGGCCTACGAGGCGGAAGATCAAGGCTTTATTATTATTATTAAATCACGTTATCTCTTTAATTTCAATTCAATTCAATTCAATTGTTTTTATTAAAGACCCGTCGGGGTCCCATCAAAGCAAGTAAAAATAAATTTACATGCAAATTTTAGACGATGTAGGCAAAATCTGCACAAAGTGCAATGCATAGTATTTGAGATTAGAAGTCCGTTAAGCAAAATGAAAATGAAAAAAACGAGGGGTGAAAAAAACTCCAAAGCAAAATTTAAAAATGATTGTAGTAATTTAACAGGAGAAAAAAAACCCCTCAGAAAAATAGCATCAGAAAAATACAGGGAGGACTGGCCTGCATGTGGCGGTACAGAATGGAATATAGTCCGACATCAACATGGCCGAAATAAATGTCAGCTGTATATGGCATTGTGTAACGGATTTCATAAAATGGTACGTAGGCTGATCGGTCAGGACTGGCCTGTATCGCCTTGAATAAGAAAAATAAGTGGCGAAATTGAAAACCAGTCTCGAGCTGATAGGAACCCAGATGCGGTCGGTTTCATTCAACCGAGTCCATCCAAGGATGGGGGAAGGGAGATGCGACCAGACTACTAGTATATGGCGAATATAGAAGGCTTTGTCAAGAGCATTGATGGTGCGCATTCTGTGAGGGCACGATGCATGAACTGAAAAATTGGAAAAATTAACATTTCTCGTGAGGGATCTTAGGTAGCGAGACTACTCATAAAGGAAGGAAACGTGAACAGATACGGAAATTTAATAGCGACATGCTAAATTCCCGGTGGCCCTTTCTCAGTGTCATAGAAAAAGTTGTCTGGGAAGGATGAGGAAAATAAAAGTTTAATGGAGTCAGTATTCAGATAAAGGCGTAGCCTTCTCTTAAATGTGTGTAGATTTTCTGAAAATCTTATATTTATTGGAAGGTTATTCCAGAGGAAAGTATACCTGGAAGCGAAAGAAAAGGGAGCGCTTAGAGGTGGAGGACGCTGGAGGAGGTATAATTAGAGATGAGTTGCGATTTTGAGCCATTTTGAGCTCCAAGCTGAGAGAGCAAGCAAGTCAGCATGGATTTGCTCCAGGCAATGAAGGCTCGTAGATTTATTGAAAGAATATACACATTTGAGATCATCGGCATAAATAAATGATTGAGAGTGTTTAACTGCTGCTGAAATATCATTTATGTAAAGCAAGAACAAAAGAGAACCTAAAACGGTACCCTGTAGGACACCGCTTACAATAGGACTTTCACTGGAATGTGAAGATCCCACCAAAACATTTTGTTTACGATTAGAAAGTTATGACCTGAGAAAGTCTATTAGTGGACTGCGAATTCCCATAGCTTCCAATTTAATCAAGAGTCTTTTATGTGGCACTTTATCAAAGGCTTTACTAAGATCAAAATAAATAACGACAACAGATAGATGATCATTGCGAAGAGAGGTTAGTAGATCGAGAAACGACAGATGACATGTTTCACAAGAGCGATCTGGGCTAATAACTTGATTGGCTATGCAAAAGTCGGTAATTTTTACGGCGATAATTTTTTCAAAGATTTTGGCGAGAGGGGGTGTTGTATGGACACCTCGATAGTTCTGTACGCCAGAACGACAGCCAGACTTAAGTACTGGAATAATAATAGAAGTTTTCCAATAGTCAGGGAAGAAGCCAATTACGAGAAATACTGAAAAGATTTTGCTAGGCAGAGGAGGATAATCTCTTAGCCGTTTTATCAAAGAGTTTGGGATATTGTCCGTACCTACTGAGTGAGAGTTAGGAAGATGGCTTATCAGTTTTTGAATACATTCAGGAGAAATATTAATGATGCTAAGAGGAGCATCAGAAAACGAAGGGATTAAAGGGATCGGATCAGTTTCAATGGTGAAATGCTTGGCAAAGAACGAATTTAAAATTTCTGCTTTGCCTGACTCCTCTGTAATGAATGCATCACTAGCACTAAGCAAGGTTGGAATGACTTGGTGGGACTTAGCAGATGATCTCTGACGGAAGATCTGAGCAACTGACTTAGAAGAATTCACGTCATTAATAGCTAAAGACTCTCTACGCCTATCTCGTTCGAGCCTCATTTTCGAAGCTAGTTCAAATATTTCAACGATTCTTAGATGAACTGATAATGAGCTCACAGAAGGATCTTTAAACTGCTTCCGTAACTTTTTAAGTCTGTTTTTAAGAAAGTGTGGGATAGCGGTTGAATTGGCACTTGATTTGAACATCTTCCGAGGAATAAGGTCAAGAAGACCTTCTGTTACGCATTGTAATAAACTGTTGAAAAAATTTAGATCATTATTTGAAAAAATATTGTGCCAATCAAGAGTGCATGTAAAGTTATTTACTAATTATTTGTTAACATTAGCAAAGTCAAAAATACTACGTTGAACTGTTGGCTTTGCGAAAATGGCAACTGGAAGGCGACAATAGATTAGTGCATGATCACTTGCAAAGAGGTCATGATAAAAATCCATAGATAAAGGGAAGGTGCCATTAGTAAAACTTAAGTCTAAAACACTATCGTTTCTGGTCGAAGAGTGAACTAATTGAGTCAGGTTTGAAAAGTAAATTGTGTCAAGCAGCTTCTGGAATCTAGGAGGAGAAGTATGTGTGTGCCAGTCAATTTCTGGCAAATTAAAATCGCCTACGATTATCTTAACATCGAAAGAAGTTTCTGCAATTTTTTCAAAGATTTCACAAAGTTGGCTTTCATTTCAGGAGGAACAAGGAGGATTATATACACACCCGACTAAGGCTTTCCTATTTTGAGGAAGGATTACCGAAGCAAAACATAAATTTCCAGAGAAGGAGGAAATGTTCAAGTTATAAGGCGATTGTGCAAGTGATGCTCTTATGTAAAGAAGGCGTCCACCGCCGCGTCTGTCCGCACGGTCCTGGCGGTATAAACTGAGGCTATCTATGTTAAGTGCCGAGGCTGAAATTAGAGAGTGGGCCCAAGATTCAGTAATGCACAATACGTCTGCGTCAAACTCAACAGCTACACTTCTTAGGTATGCCATCTTTTGCACGACAGATCTTGCGTTGAGAGAGACAATACTGAGCGTATTCCTAATATGTAGATTCCGCTCATCGCTACTTATAGAAAAGGAAGAGCCGGAGGTGGGAAATTAAGCTGAGGGAACGGAGCAATTGGTGGAGGACAAAGTTGCTGCGGTCTAAAATTTATGGGGTCATCACTAGCTAGAGATGCAGCATTAGGTGGAAAAACATGTGAGGAGGACCCAGGAAGAGGAAAACTATTTTGTTGGGTTGGAAAAAAAGGAGACAAGAAAATAGGATTTTGGGAGTTGTTAGCATAATATGAGGGGTAGTTTATTTTAGGTGGCGGACGTAATGGTTTCTGGAAACAGTTAACATCAGGAAAGGGCTTTATTATTTGGGGTGTCAGGCTAGCAACGGGATTGGAAAATTTATCAGCAATACAATATACTTGCATTTTGCCGTCTGATGTGTAAGAGGGCTTCACAACTGTGGCGTTAAGTTGAGAATTCAGGATAGGAACAGGTAAATACCTCCCTGAATTCTCATCTAGTTTATTAGACCTAACTGCAAGGTCAGACATGAGTGGCCAGGCGTGGGAACGGGGTGGATTCGATGACATTCGTCGTTTGCGTTATTAGCACACACCTCAACCCTTAGTCTGGCGATTCAGCGATGCCTGCATTCTTCCTCCAATCCTATACTGCTCTCCTGCCATTTTTCCTGCTTTGCTCAAGAAAGATCTTTTCATTTTAAAACGAGGCCTCCGAATGCTATCTTCTGCCGCTGGTGTCTCTTACCTTTTTTAGTCGATATTATTCTACGACGGCATTTTAATACGGTCAAGCAATTTGTTGGTCGGATTATACATGACGTTGGCCATCCCTTGTTTTCTGAACTTTTTCCTGCGAAGCCTTCCCGCCTAATGCGCCGCAGCTTTCGACTTATGGCTTGTCACATATCGGCTTTTTGAGCTTCCGTATTGCCATTTCTGGTGCATTGTTTTACGTGTAAAGAGATAAACATACGGAAGCTAAGTCTTGAACTATCCTCATAATGATCGTTCAGTTTGTGTTATCCTTTTTGACTCTTGAATAATCTGTTAAGTTATTTACTGCCTATAATGAATGCGGCCATTTTTCGTTGAAAATTTTGAATTTATGATTGCAAGATAAAGCGAATTCCTGTGCTCTCTCTCTCTCTCATAAGGACTGTGGACAGTGGACATGCCAAGATCAAAATTCCTTTTGTTATGCAACCCAACTGACAAGCCAACCCCCTTTTAGGGTACGGGCAAAATATACTCCGCACGGGTAAGGATTTCGGTTGCAGTCTGCCTCTTAATGACTCATGCATATTTGCTACTACGGCTACCATCCGAGGTCACCCATCAAAACTGCGTTTTCAGCACACAGGGCGGGATGTGCGGAAGTTTCCTCCATCTCATGTGTTTAAATTACGAACTAGCCTCTCTGCGTATGCGGTTTTATTAATAGCAGAAAGCCTTAACAGATAACTTGTCAAATTCGTGATTCCAAATTAACTGGAACAATGATAAATTGGGTTAATCCTTTAAGACTCATGTTCGAATATCTTCTTGGAAGTATTCTTTCTCACACAGTTTCTCTGTGCACTGCACCTAACGTTACATATGCCTGGGTTACTTGAAAATCCGTGAGTATTTTTCCCCAGTAAAGTGAACTGCAGTGTCATTTCGAAGTCTTTCCAGTTTGTTTTAATTAACTGGGTGCAGGGGTCGTGCTGGTGGTTTTACGAATATTTTATTGTCATTCTGACCGAACTTTCCATAGATTGCTGACATATATGTGTAAGGCTAATGTTAACCGTTAAATATTTCTGAAATTGCTATCCGTAACTGGTTTTATCGAGAATCTAGTCTGTTTAGTCCAAAGGGCTTTCTTACCGTTAAGGAATTTTCCTTAAGGAATATTAGTTAGTTGACGAATGTCCCACAATTGTGGGATATTCCTCAACAAACGACTTTTAGTCAAAAAATAAAAATACTTAGGTGTTGTTTCTGTTTTTTTCAGTGCAATACCTTTTGAATATAATCAACATTAATTGCAGAGTAGGGGGCTGGATTTTCAGCAAAGATGTCGACAAGCATTATAAATATTTAATGATGCTCAGACGTCACATGTAATACATATGTATTACATATATAAAATCACATTGTGGTATTTAATATTTAGGGAAGGAGAAATATATGTGTCTCTCTTAATAGAAATATATTGATCGGGATGCATCCGGAATTATATGCCGTGCGCAAATCTTTTCCTAGGCTTCAAAATGAAACAAGACAATGAATTGGAATAATATAATACCTCTTTAAGAATTATCCAGAATTAATGCCCAGTAAAAGTGACTGCGACTCTACCTGAAATTAAGGGAAATCTTAAGGATTTTACTTGCTGAATATAGTTTAGTTGACATATATGTGTCAGTTTGAAATTTAAAAACAGGGGTCTTTAAATTTCACAAAAAATTGTTCAAAAGGATCATACTCCTTATGTTTATGTATATAACTTAACAACTATAAGTAAATCATATACGCAAAAGGTGCATATTGTTGTGTGTTGATAACAACACGAATGACGTTCACTATTAAACTGCAAGCAGGAAATGCATTTAAGCAATCAGATACCGAAGTATATTACCGTATCCAGTGCAAGTCGTTCGATATGTTTGGTGTTATCCAAAGTGCTTCGCCAATAGGCATCGCAAAACTCTGAAATTTACTTAATATGTCTGCACGTTCACAACTTTACGTCTGTCGCGATGACCTTATTTGAGTTATTTCTTTTGTACAGTCATGGCCAATTCCAGTCCGGTCAAGGTTGTTAAAGCAACCGTAAGTTTCTTAATCAGTATGATTAATTTTTCGAAAATGCCACTTGAATCAGTAATCCATCGGTTATCAAGCAATGATGAGACTTTTAATGTTTGAAGTCGATTTGGCACAGGCCCTACATCTTTGGGTGAGAACCTAACAGATTAGCTCTATAATTTGACTAGTTGTCTACGCAAAAATAAGGCTTTCATATGACATTGAATGCTCTGTTTTTCCGTTTGTCCTAAATACTTACAAATAAACGTTCTTCATAAGAACGAAGAGCATAGCCCACTTCCTTTTTGCAAAGGTAACTTATAGTTAATCTCAGGCAACTTAAGGTAATTTTTTGCCGTTTTAGGAGCTTCCGGTCATTCTGGAAAAGAACACATACGTCATTGTCAATTTTTTCACATCATGGTTAGCAGCAAGTTACGAGGTTGCGCCAATTATAGAGAAACTGGCGCACAAGTATCCAAAGATTAAGTTTGTCACCGTTGACGTCAGCGAGAACCAGGTGAATTTACACTACACTTCCTCTTTTCGAAGTACCTCTAAACGTGCACTCTTTAAACTGCATTTCTTCACTTGTCCCCCAGGAGTATATGTGTTTCATTGTAATTTGCATTTTAACCACCAGACTAATTGCTAACATAAGCAGTTTGAAGTAAATCTACCGGGAATAATCAAACTTAGGAGACAGAAACTGTAATCGTGGAGGAAAGTTGTACGAAAATTTGTATTACACAACCACGTGACAGTTAAATTTATGAAGATCGGCTGCACTAACACAAAAAGATGTAGTGTCAGTGCTCATGTTGAAAATGTTTTACTTGCTTTTTAGGACCTTTTGAGGGCCTACAATTGTCCGGGCCTGCCGTACGTCATAATTTTCTGGAGGGGGCTGGTACTCGACCGATGCGATGACGCGACACGAGCTTCTGTCAAACGCATGGTCAGAGCTCTGACAAAGGAAGGACACTACCTCACTTTCTCCACAAACTCTGGAAAATCAGTGACATTTTCGGATGCCATCGCATGGGATTGCAGAGTGAAGAAAGCGGTTGTTTAAACCGAACTCTACCGGTCATTTGGAACTGGAACCGGCAGCGACTTACAACAGACAACGTCAAGCAGACAGCCCATGGACAATTTTATATTCAAAATGCCATGAGAGTTTGTGAAATCAGTGCATTTACCAACTATTTTGTACAATCCATGTTTTTTATATCATTGTTGTTTTGAATTTCACCAGAAATAATATCAAGGCGAACAAATAATATCCGGCAGTCATGTTGCAGGATCTATGAGAAGCTATACGATAGAGCTGAGGAATAAACAGGAGTTTCCCCGTAAAATTAATGACCTATACGCGTTCCCAATCGCAAACCATGGCTTCCTTCTATGGTGGTTCAGGCTTTATAAGGCCAAAAATTCCGAATAAGTCTACTTAGTAGCAGGTGTTTCGCAACAATATTTCACGGCACTTGATTCCATTAGGCTGACCAAGTTGACATTTACGTTTATTTGCGTCTTCTTTGTTTTTCTTCGCAACTGCACGCAAGCTCCTACAAAACGTTCCGGTCCGCGTGTCCGGAAGAGTGCGTTTTAATAAATCTAATCGAAATGGTTACATTAAAGATTGCTAACTCAGGATTTCCTTTGTTTGTATAGAAATGTTTTAGCAGATTTCAAATAGTTCACTTTGACCCAACTGTGAGAACTCGGTGCCTCTGTGGGATTTTAACCCATGACAGTAAGATGAGGTTTTAGTTCAGCCAACGCTCTATCCACCTGGGCTACGAGGCTCCACCGGAAGACGCGAGTTTAATTACATCTTAGTCAGGTTACCCGCCTAACCAACTGCAACGTCTGAAATCCCCCAAATCTGATGCAGTAAACTGACTGCCCAAGTAGGATTTCCTAAGTAATACATCTACTACCAGATGACTACCAGGCTCGCGTCGTCCGGTGGGGCCTCGTAGCTCAGCTGCTTAGAGCGTTGGCTGTATTAAAGCCTCTGCTTGCTGTTTTGGTTTCGAATCCCGCCGATACACCGAGTTTTTTGCTATTGGGTCAAAGTAAATTCTCTATTTCGATTATACTGGAGACCTCCCAACCTTTTGATAGAATGGCAATTTATGAATAAACGATTCCTATCCTTAAAACTGGCCTGCTTAGAGATGGTGTATTATTGATGAGCTCTGAAGTCCCGTCATTCATTTTAACATTATTTTCTGTCACTTGGTCAAACGATGGCTTAGTAGTCTGAGTAACCTGTCACAGACCTGAATTAAGACCGACCGCAAGAAAAGTAAATGTTGCCTTTCCGGACTATCCTTCGGGTAAATCAGCCT